ATTACGGGGAAAACCAGAAGATTTATAGTGTGGAGGCAGTAGCAAAAGCTTCAGCTGATAGGTGCTCCTGGGATGCCTCATTTACATGTGGTGGTGGGCTTCTATCAGGCTGTCAGACAGTGCCTGATTATCACACAGGAAAAACCTGGCAGTTTCTGTGCCAGAGGTCATGTATCTGTGACGGCCACTTCAAAGGTGAGTCAGGAAGAGAGTAGGAGACGCCCCGCTGAGAAGGGGAGTCCCTCCATTTGCGCCGAGCTGGCTTGCAGCTATCCGGACATGGAGAGACTGCGACCCTAAACAGCAGGGTTCCCCAACAACATTAGAGTGCAGTAAATATTTGGCTCGCGAGGTGTGGTGCTGCACTCTGTAATGCCAGATTTGGGAGGTGGAGGCAGGAGGATCAGTAGTTCAGGGTCATCCTTGGCTACTTTCTTAGTTTTAGTTTCTTTTTGTTACTGTGATAAAATGTTCTGACAAAAGTGACTTAAAGAAGGCAGGGTTTATTCTGGCTCAGAGTTCAAGGGTGCAGCCCATCCATCATGTTGGGGAAGTCAAGGCTGCAGGAGCTCAAAGCAGCTGGTCACATCTCGTCCACAGTGGAAGCAGAGTAGACTGAGTGCTGCAGCTCCTGTTCTCCACTGACACACACAGGCCAGAATCCCAGCCAGGGAATGGTGCCCCTATGGTGGGCAGGTCTGCCCTCAACGAATGGAGTCAGAACAGTCTCCCTGTAGGTACTCCGAGCAGTCCACCCCCCACATCACTGTAGATTCTGTTATGGTGACAATTGATACCATCCATCACAGCTGGACTGTGAGTTCCAGGGAAACTAGCCTCAAAAATGAAAACAAGTTAAACTTTTAAAACATTTTTATTTAGGTGTATGAGTGTTTTGCCTGCATGTATGGAAGTGTACCTGTGCATGTGATACCTGTGGAGGTCAGAGATGGCGTCGGATCCCCCTGGAACTGGAGTTTGGATAGTTGTTAGTTGCCATGTGGGTGCTGGGAACTGAACCCAGGTCCTCTGCAAGAGCAGCCAGTGCTCTTAGCTGGCTGAGCCATCTCTCAAATCTCCAAGTTAAGCCCCCCAAATTTATTACATTTATTTAGTTTTGTGTTTGTGTGTGTGTGTGTGTGTGTGTGTGTGTGTGTGTGTGTGTGTGTACACTTGAGCACTTTTAGTATGTCAGAGGGACAGCTTTCTGGGGGAGTGCTTACTTTCCTTCAACCATCTCAGTCCTGGGGATTGAACTCAGGTCATCCAGCTTGGCAGCAAGCATCTTTACCCATTGAACCAAATGACATCTTGCCCCAAATCACATTCTTCTGAAGTATGTGGTTGGATTTCTTTTCATGTGAGGAGTTACTTAAGAGCTGGATTTTACTGTATTCTCTAGGAGGAATGTGACACTCTAAAAGTGGTTCCCCTGAAACAAAAATTTTGTGAACAGTTGGGCCCATCATAGCACATGGTAGGTACCCCATAGATATTTGTTGAGGGAACGAAATGAGAGCTATGTACAAAATGTGCCGCCAGGGGAGGCTCTGCTTTCTCTTCAGCAGAGTTACCAGCCGAGCAGCCTGACAGCTGACATTTTGTAAGAAGATATGTTTTATTGGCAAGACTCCTGCAGTTCAGTGAAGAAGCTGGCTCCTGGGACTGTGTCTTTGACAGCTAATTCATTCAGCAAATATTTACTGACTTGTCTGGTGCTCAGGCCTATGGAATTGTCCATGAGGAGAGGAGTCTAAAACCAGGCTGATACTGAGCCCTTCCAGTGCCGGCCCTAAGAGAAGGGCAAGATCTCACATACCATGCCCACACCTTGGAGGGAAAGGTGCCTGGAAATCTTAGGGCTGGGTGTTTTTGGTTTTTTTTTAATTGGCTGTTTAATTATACCAAATAACTTTTATTGGCGGTAAACTAATTTCCATAATTACCAATGCATTCATCCCGGTGGTTCTTTTATTGTGGCAGAAGATGGCTGTGCCTCCCACATATGCTGATCTTGGCAAATCCGCCAGGGATGTCTTCACCAAAGGCTACGGTGAGTGTTGAAGGAGGGGAGGGCCTTTCAGCTCAATAATGGGATCGGCATGTTCAGGAGACCTGGGATGGTCAGTTTCCAGCTTAGAATGTCCGTGTCTTGCCAGACAGATGAGCTGCTTGTGCACCCAGGAGGGTAGGCTGGGGCATTGCAAGACAAATGGCTGTTCCAGTCTCCTCAAGCACAAGGCTGCTGCCGTGGAACATAGCTTCTAAATTTAGCCTGACGTGCCCATGAGGCCTGATCACTGTGTCTGTGCCAGCTGCTAGGCACCTTCTGTGTGGGGCACAGGTGGGACCTGTGACCTTCTGCTCACCACCGTTCCCCATGCCCCACAGCAACAGCAGGACCTGGGTCCCCTTGGCGCTCTGGGCCACAGTGTGCTTTCTTTTAGAAAGCATTTCCAAATAGCTGAGAGGAAGGCAGAGTGTAACAGTTTCTCTCTCTCTCTCTCTCTCTCTCTCTCTCTCTCTCTCTCTCTCGGTGCTGAGAATCAAACCTAGGATGTTGAGCTTGCTAGGCAATCACTGTACCACTGAGCTATACCCCACAACTCCTCTGGTGTGGTTAGTTAACCTGTTTATGATTGGTTTTCTTTCTTTAGGATTTGGCTTAATAAAACTTGATTTGAAGACAAAGTCTGAGAATGGTCTGGTAAGTTATCCAACCTGCATAGATCAGGGGCATTTGTTCTTGACTGGTAGGGAGCTGCTGTGTCATGGCTGGCAGAGCCCCAAGCAGATGCTTGTTTGGATTGTGGGGTTTATGCTTGCCCCATTACTATATTTCTGTGTGGTGGGTAGTTTGGGAGTGCAGTAGCTGTTAATAATCATAGCTAAATGGTCTCAGTTAAAGTTCCATTCTGTTTCTTGGTTGGTTTATTTTTTAACTTTTTTTTATGGTGTTGGGACCTGAACTCAGGGCATTGTGCATTCTGGGCAAGAGTTCTACCACCTGATCAATCAATCCTTGATGCTTTTTTTTTTTTTCTGAGACAGCCCTACTCTGCACTAGCCCAGGCTAATCTCAAATTCACTGTGTAGCCCAGGCTGGCCTCAAACTCATGGCAATCCTCCCACCTCAGCCTCCCGAGAGCTTGGGTTATAAGATGTGAGCCACTCTACCAGCTTTGACCTGTGTTTTAATTTTTAATTTTAATTTTTTGTATGCATGCATCTAAGTGCAGCACATGTGTACAATGCCTACAGAGGCCAGAAAAGGGCATTGGATCCCCTGGAACTGGAGTTAAAGAGTTGCTAGCCACCATATGGGTGCTGGGAATAGACCCAGGTCCTCTGCAAGAGCAGGCAGCACTCTTAACCACTGAGCCATCTCTAGCCCTTGACCTGTGTTTTAAATGCTACACGATCATTCAGAAAACATTTTGTTCTCTTTAGATTTCGCCTGCAGCTCCTGCTGGGAGGGAGGAGTCTGGGAGTTGCAATTCTTCTATGTTAGCTTTAATTCAATGGTTTTTCTCTGTGTGAGGCAGGGTGGAAGTGGGGTGGCTTCCTGTCCAGACTTCAGGGTCAGTGAGGAAGGAAGTGCTCTCCCAACAGAGAACTCCCCAGAAGTTTCCTTTAGGTAGTGGGCTCCTTCTCCCTCTCCCAGTTTTCAGTATCTAACTGGATTGTAGAAGTCGTTTTCTGCCTGAACACGTTCAAGGCCTCTCTGTTGCATAAGGGTCTGGATGGTTACCAAGGATGTGTAGGGCTGCAGGCCGTGACTCTGCTTTTTCTTTGAAGGAATTCACCAGCTCAGGCTCAGCCAACACGGAGACCACCAAAGTGAATGGCAGCCTGGAAACCAAGTACCGGTGGACTGAGTATGGCCTGACGTTTACGGAGAAGTGGAACACGGACAACACGCTAGGCACAGAGATCACCGTGGAAGACCAGGTTAGGGCACTGGATAGGAGACTTGGTTTTGCTCATTCCCATCTCTACCCTGCCTGTGACTAACCCTGCACCTTTCTTTTCCCTGTAGCTTGCGCGTGGACTGAAGCTGACCTTTGACTCATCCTTCTCACCTAACACTGGGTAAGAATCTCATCTCTGTCATCTGATATGTGGGCCTTGGAAGCCCTTCTGGACAAAGGGTTTTAGAGGTTGGGATTGACATCACATACAAGGTGGCCTCTGAGCAGGGTGTGGTAATACATGCCTATAATCCCAGCACATGGGACACTAGGGGTTAGAGGGATTGGGAGGGAGTCGAGGTCAGTGTAATGAGATTCTATGTCAGAGAACAAAAATCAACCAACCACCACCAACATCAAGGCAGCCTTGGTCCAAATTCTACATTCAAGTTCTCTGGCGTTGCTTTGACCAGGGCACACCCACATCCATCCGTTCATGGACCATGCAGTATCAAGTTTTCATTAATTTAGAAAATGCATCTGTGCAACAAATAGTTCTGCATGTTCCTGTGTTCATGTGGGGATTAAGGGTGCCGGTGCCGGCTGCTAGACCCTCCCAGGAGCGCCTTCCCCTGCTCCCTTTTTTTTTTTTCAAATATTTACATTAGTTTTTATAAGATATTTTATTTTTATTTTATGTATATGAATGTTTTGCCTTCATGTATGTAAATGTACCATGTGTGTGCAGTGCCCATGCAGAGGCCAGAAGAGGGTGTCAGATCCCCTGCAACTGGAGTTATGCATGGTTGTTAGCTGCCATGTGGGTGCTGGGAACCGAACCCACGTCCTCTGGAAGAACAGCCAGTGTTCTTAGCTGCTGTTTTTTTTTGTTTGTTTTTTGTTTTTTGTTTTGTTTTTTTGTTCTTTTTGAGACAGGGTCTCTCTGTAGCCCCAGCTGGCCTGGAACTCACCATGTAGACCAGGCTGGCCTTGAACTCAACAGAGATCCATCTGCCTCTGCCTCCGGAGTGCTGGGACTAAAGGTGTGTGCCACCACGCCTGGCTAAGTTTTGTTTTTTGGTCTTTTTGAGACAGGGTCTCCCTGTATAGCCCCAGTTGTCCTGGAACTCACTATGTGGACCAGGCTGGCTTGAACTCACAGAGATCTGCCTGCCTCTGCCTCCTGAGTGCTGGGACTAAAGGCAGCAGTGTTTCTTAAGATCCCACACTGTCAACATGTGCCTGACTGCAGGCTGCAGGCTATAGGCATTCCATCCAGTAATGCACCATTTCATGTTAGTTAGGCTACTGGTAATGTAAGTGGCCAAGGTAAAGTATTCAGGTGGCATTTGGAAGCAGTGATCACGGTTGTCAGCCTGTTTTGAGGGTGTTGCCAGCCCTCTCCCTTTCTGTGTAGAGACCCATGGACCTTGTGAGCTTAATCACAAGGCAACTCCTGAGGCCACATGGTTCTTGCCAGTACCTCTGGCTAGAAACAGATTAGGCTTGTTGGTTGTTGACACATCTGCAGGTAAGAGATCGAATTGGGTACTTTACAGGACTAGAAGGGACTCTTCCCTTCTAGAATATTCTATACTGTTGTCCCGGATATCAAACTCAGACCACGAGGTTTGTGCAGTGAGTGTTTCATGCACAAAGCCATCTCGCTGCTCCTCTTCTTGTCCCATTTTCTTTTTCTTTTTCTAAAAAATGCTTATCACAGGTGGGATCTACCACGCCTGTCAACTTGGCACTTGGGAGGTAGAGGCAGGAGAATCAGGAGCTCATTGTCATCCTTGGCTGCGTATTGGTTTGATTGAGGATAGCTTGGGGTACATGAGACCCTGTTTCACAAAGCAAACAGAGGGCCATCTATACATCTAGATGTGGTGTGACTGTGACTGAGCAGAAACCATTTCTGTCTTCCTGAGAGAACTCATTTTATGTAGCCTAGACTGATCTTGGACTTTAGATCCTCCTGCCTCTACTTCCCAAGTACTGGTGTTGCAGGTGTGAGCCACCATGTCTAGTTTCTGCAGTGCTGGGGATTGAACTCAGTGCTTCATGCATGCTAGGCAAGCACTCTGCCAACTGAGCTGCATCCCCAGCCTATGAGAAATCTTTTTATAACTTGGCTATGTAAGGTTTGAAGATACCAGTCAGGGCCTGGTTTATTATTGTTTTTTGATGTCAGGGATGGAACCCAAGGCCTCATTCATGCTAAGCAAGTGCCTCACCACTGAGCCAGATTCCAGGCTTAGGAACTGTTTGCTCTTGTTCTCCTCCCTGCCCTGGTCCCTACTCCTAGGAGCATTGCTGTCTTGCCTGTTCACTCCCATAGGCACTCTGTCATTGTGTCACAGAGAAATCTCTGATGGGAGGGCTGGAGGACAAGCACACTGAGCTCCTCTGAGACCATGCTTTGGGATTTATAAGGCATTTCCTGTTAACTTTGTAAGAGTTACAGAACAATTTCCTAAAGTTGTTCAAAAGTGGCTTGGCTTTTCTTTTTTTGAGACAGGATCTCCTTGAAGACCCAACTGACCTGGAACTTGCTATGCAGACCAGGGTGACTTCCACAGAGATCCACCTGCCTCTGCCTCCTGAGTGCTGGGATTAAAGCTTCGGCCACGGGGTCTCTCTGTAGCCCCAACTGGCCTAGAACTCACTATGTAGACCAGACTGGCCTTGAACTCACAGAGATTTGCCTTCCTCTGCCTCCCAAGTGCTGAGATTAAAGGCATGTGCCACCATGCCTGGCTTAATTTAGCTTTTCATTTTGAAGTAATTTTATAATTTTTGTACAAAATTGCACACAAAAAATGTGATTAAAAATAACATGTGGAGTTTCCTTTTATTTTCCCCTAGTTCCCTCTAATGTTGAAATCTTACATCTATAATCATATGCTCTAGTTAGCTTTTCTGTTGCTGTGATTAAAAACACTCTGACCGCTGGACGTGGTGGTGCACGCCTTTAATCCCAGCACTCTGGAGGCAGAGGCAGGCGGATCTCTGTGAGTTCAAGGACAGCCTGGTCTACATAGTGAGTTCCAGGACAGCTGGAGCTACAGGGAGACCCTGTCTCAAAAAGACCAAAGAACAAAAAACCAAAAAAACCCACTCTGACCAAAAGCAACCTGGGAAGGAAATGGTTTATTTCAGCTTACACCCTAGATCACAATCCATCATTGAGGGAAGTCAGGCAGGAACCCAGGAACTCAAGCAGAAACCATGGAGGACTTCTGCTAGCTGGCTTCTTCAGCTCACCCTCCTTCTCCCATGACCCCCTCCCATTCTTTCATTTATAGGGTCTTACCATGTAGCCCGGGCTGGCCTAGAACTTGTTATTTAGACCAGTCTGCCCTCAAACTCACAGGAATCCACCTGCCTCTGCCTCCAGAGTGCTGGGATTAAAGGTGTGTTACCCCACACCTGGCTCAGCTTACTTTCTTACATAGTCCAGACCCACTTGCCTAGGTGTGGTGGCACACACAGTGGGGCTGGGCCTTCCAAAAGCAATCATCTGTGAAGACAGTCTCTCACAGGTACAGCCACAGGCTGGCCAAATGGAAGCAATCCTTGAGACTCCTTTCCAGGTGGCTCAGTTTGTGTCACACTGACAACAAAAACCAACTCATATACTGTATAGTATATAATATGGTTTATGGTATATAATATATAGCCACTCACTGCATAGTGATGTCCCAGTCAACCACATATAGGACTCTGGTCCCATAAGATGATAACAGAACTGAAAAAATTCCTGGTCCCCAGTGCCATTGAGGTACTCTGCGTTACCTGGGTGAGTGATAACTGACATAAACCCCACCCACTCTGCTGCTGCCTGTCCTATAAAAGTCTAGCATGTATGTTTATGTGATATTTATAGTGATAATAAATAAGTGTGGTTCTGGCTACCATTACCTTAGAGTATCCTTTTTATAAACTGATTACTGTAAACCGTGTGCCATGTTATGCTGGCTGCCTTGCTGTCTGTGTGCTGTGCCCCTTGAGTGTATCAAGAGGCCATGTTGAGTGGTTAACCTACACCACCTCGGTTTCCATAAGTGCACTCTGTGGTGTTTGCTTAATGACCAAGTTGCCCAATGATGCAATTTGTAGAGTGTGTCCCTGTCATTAAGCAAGTGCGGCTATAATGATGATCCCACCAGCAAATTAACATGGGTACCGTACTGTTAACCCTTGCGCCACCGACGACTGCTTTCTGATCTGCGATTCATTTCTGGATCCTCCATTTAGTTGTCATCCTCTGGCTTGCTTTGTTTCCTGACCTGGACATATTTTGAGTACTTATTTTTATGGTTTTTTTTTTTTTTTGGAGACAGGGTCTCCCTATACCCCTGACTGACCTGGAACTTGCCTTGAGCTCACAGATATCCACCTGTCTCTATCTCCTGAGTACTGGGTTTAAAGGCTTGTACCACCATATCCACCCAGCCTTTGGTGATTCTTGCCTGCAATAATTAGTTTTAGTAATTAAATCCATCTTTACTAATTGGGCTTCTAACTTAAGGACGTGCTGTTCCATCTCCCTAGTTTATTTAATCAGTTTTATTTTTATTAATTAAAGCATTACATTTATGTATTTTTTCTTTCTTTTTTTTTTTTTTTCATTTTTGAGACAGTGCCTCTCTGTAGCCTCAGCTGGCCTGGAACTCACTATGTAGACCAGGCTGACCTTGAACTCACAGAGATCTGCCTGTCTCTGTCTTCCAAGTGTTGGACTTAAAGATGTGCACCACCACACCTGGCTTTCATTTATATTTTTATTTATTCGTTTATTTATTTATTTTATTTTATGTATACGAGTCTATTGCCTGCATGTGTGTAAGTGCACCCATGTCATGCAGTGCTGGAGGAAGTCAGAAGAAGACATCAGATTCCCCTGGAACTGGAGTTACAGACAGTTCTTAGCTGTCATGTGGGTGCTGGGAATTGAACCCGGGTCTTCTGCAAAAGCAGAGTGCTGTTATCTACTCCATCTCTCCAGTCCCTTAATTATTTTTTATGTTGGTATGGATTCATGGATACTTGTTTTATTCTGTGGGTTGTGAGCAATTTCATCATGCTAGGGCTCACATTGTTTTAGTTGTGGCCACTGGGAGCTCCTATAAATATATTGGTATGTGTGTTGTGCCTGTGAAGTCTGGAAGAGGGCGACAGAGCCACATGTGGGTGCTGGGACTCTGATCTAGGTTCTCTGGAAGAACAATACTCTTAACCCCGAGCCACTACTCCACCTCCTCTGTGTTTCTTGTTTTAAAAGTTGTATCAGGTTCATCTTATGCGTTTTCTTCCCCAGTCCTGGGATCAGCCATCCCTCTAGGAGCTCTGGTTTCTTATACTGATAGTGGTGTTCACAGGGCAGAGCTGTAGGCTCTGGGTATACGTCTTGTTGCTGGGCAGTCAAGCTTTCATGGCTGTTGATGGAGTTTGGAAGCGAAGGCTGGTTCCGAAGTGACTGGGGTAGTACCTGAGAGAGCACTTGTTCCCCAAGGAGCTGAGTGTGGGCATCCAGATGGGCTGTAGACCTCGCTTAGGCATTGTCTCTTGAGTGCTTGTGAGATTAACACCAGTGCGTAACGGGCTTTAAGAAAAATCCCAGTGACATTTGAGAAAGAAAAGGCTCCACAGCTGCAGAGCACTGTGCTGGAAAGACCAGAGCCAGGGAGAAGTGCGAGCCGCTGCCTGAGCTCTGTCCCTTGCCTTTGGGAAGTGGGACTCTGGCTAGAGTCCCGTGAGACAGTGAGTGTAAACTGGTGTGGGTGGTTCACACCACTGGCCAGAGGCTCTGCCACAGGCATCGCACTCTGTGCTTGGCAGCAGCTTTTTTTGGTTTGTTTGTTTGAGAGAGGGTCTCAGTCTGGCTCTGAGTGTGTCACAGGCTGACTTTGGACTCCTGATGCTCCTGCCTTTGTCTCCCAGCTGTTTGCCACCTCTGCTTTGTTTAGCTTTGAGTGAGCTAGGGCGTTATAACGCAGCCTAGGCTCACCTCCATGTTATCATCCTCCTGCCTCAGCCTTTCAGATGTTAGGATTACAGGTCTGTACCACCACACCTGGTAAGCAGCAGCTTAAAAAAAATTTTTTTTTTTCCATTTCAATGTGTGTGGTGTTCACATATGTGGAGGCCTGAGGTGGTTGTTGGAATCATCCTCAACTGCTCCTCCAGTTGAGGCAGGCATTTCAGTCAACCTGAGAGCTCGCTGATATGTCTAGTCTTGCCAACCAGCTTGCTCTGGAGAGCCCTTGTTTCTACCTGTCAAGGCTGGAATGGCAGGAGGGCCACCCCACCCACCTGGCATTTATGAGGGTTCTGGGGATCCGAACTGCAGCCCTCAAGCCTGCATGGCACTGAGCCGTCCTCCCAGCTCACGCAGCAGCCTTTCTATATGGTGGTTGTAAGATACCTTTATATGTATGGCCCCTCTCTCTAAATGTCATCGTCACTCCACCCAGCTTGGTGCCCACACCCAGACTCCTTATCCCAAAGAGCAGGCAGACCAAGATGGGCTGACATGGGATCTTCTTGTGGAGAGGGCGTCTGTGGTTACTTCTCCCTTTCTTCAAAGATTTTTCAGAAGCAACTCTGATGGAATTGGTGCCCCAAGGTGCAGCTTTCTCACTTGGGAAGGGTGTTGGCTTTGTTTTCAACTGTGACCTCTAAAATTCTTGTCTTGTTGAAAGCTTAGAACTGGGGCTAGAGACAACATGGGGTGGATTGTGTGTGTGGGAAAGCTACAGATTTCCCTAAGTTCAGTTAGAACAAATCCAAGTCACTGGGTGTGGTGGCACTCAGGAGGCAGAGGCAGGGGGATCTCCGTGAGCTCAAGGCCAACCTGGTCTACATAGTGTGTTCTAGGACAGCTGGGGCTATAGGGAGACCCTGTCTCAAAAAAAAAAAATTACATTTATTGTTCTTGTATATATGGGATGTGTGTGTGTGTGTGTGTGTGTGTGTGTGTGTGTGTGTACATGTGGAGGTCAGAGGACAGCTTGCAGGAATCAGTTCTTTGTCTCCACCAGGTGGGTCTTGGGAATTGAACTCGGGTCCTTAGGTTTGGTGGTAAGCACCTTTACCCCCTAAGCCATCTTGTTGGCCCTGGACTAAAAACATTTTTAATGATATGTTTTAGTTCAGTGCTAATACTCTTCTTACAGATGCTCACATTGTCCATCTTTGAAGCCCTTGGGAGCCTTTTTATTTTAGCTCTTAAATCCGTTTTCCTGATCCCTGTAATCTTCGATAGCTCTGAGAGATACTTCAGGCTTACTTAAGTTTCCTGCCCCAGACCTGAACTGGCCATTTTCCCAAGGAGCAATGATTCCTCTGCAGAGGGAATGGTTTCAGAGCCCTGGATCTCCATGCTGCAGATGAAGCTTTACTCTCACTGTGACTGAGGCCAGAGCTGTGTGGTTTTGGAGCTCTAAGCAGACCTGGCTTCTGTGGTCTTTCCTGAGAAAGCAGTTGCTGGGGTAGTACCTGTTCTGTAACTGGGCAGCCAATGCCCTGTGGATGTAGTTCCTGTTTATTTGACAGATGTGATCTTTCTTTAAAGTTGCTTTTGCTGGGGCTGGAGAGATGGCTCAGAGATTAAAAGCACTGGCTGCTCTTGCAGAAGACCCGGGTTCAAATCCTAGCACCCACATGATGGCTAACAACCATCTGTAACTCCAGTTCCAGGGGATCTGACACCCTCTTCTGGCTTCCTCCGGCACTGCACGACATGGGTGCACTTATATATATGTGCAGGTATAACACTTATACACATAAAATCAAAATAAACAAAAATTTTAAAAAGGTGCATGAGTGAAGGTCAGGACACCTCAAGTATTGGCCCTCACCTTTCCCCTTGTTTGAGGTAGGATTTCTTCTATGGTTCACTTCTGCACACACAAGGCTAGCTAGCACTCCAGCATCAGGAGATCCTCCTGTCTCTGCCTCCCATCATCCCATAGGGGCATGCTGGGATCACAGATGGTGCTCCACATCCAGCTGTTACGACACCTGGGGATTCAAACTCAGGTCTTCAGGCTTGCCCGACAAGTGCTTTACCCACCAAACCATCTACCCAGCCCAATAGATATGATCTTGTCCTCCAGTGTTTTGATATAGAGTCATGGTGACTATGTGTTTGTTGGCAACATGACTCATCTGCCCTTGCTGAAGGATTCTGGGTTTTGAGGAACAGTGGACAGACACTGGACTAACTTGCTCAGATTCCGCACCATCGGATTGGGCCTGAGATTAGGACTGCTAGCCCCTCAGGCTCTCCTTCTCAGTGTCTAAGACTCTCAGTTATGAATTAAGTAAGGTCTCATGATTATGGCATTAAAAGATGTCCTGTCCGATACCTTAGCAGAGATCTGGTGTTTCTTTTTTCACTTACGGGGTGAGCCACAAAGATGGCCATCTCCCCAAAACAACTGTGTGGACAGCTTCATGGTACAGGGCTCTTTTCTTTCCCACAGGTTTGAAAAACGGCAAAGATGCATCTGTTTTGAGGTGACACTGTGCCATTCTACCCAGTAGATGCCTGTGTGGGCTGTTGTGTTATGGGGAGAGGCCAGATGAGGGAAATTGCTTGGTGCTCTCTTCCTGTCCTCTCTGTCCTGTGTGCACACGGTATTGTTGTGGCTTTCTGCAGACGGGATTCCAGCTCAGGGGAGGCTGTGTCCAGTGTGTGAGGCAGCAGCTGCTTAGGGACAACTGGCTGCTGACCTTACTTCCTTCACCAGCCCCCTACTCAGACTAGGATTAGAGAAGAATATTTGCAGTTCTTGGAATGAGTGTACCAAAGTGAGGTAGCTTGATTTTATTTAATACAGTTTCTTTTTTACCCCCAGGAAAAAAAATGCTAAAATCAAGACAGGGTACAAGAGGGAGCACATCAACTTGGGCTGTGATGTGGACTTTGACATCGCTGGGCCCTCGATCCGGGGTGCTCTGGTGCTGGGCTATGAGGGCTGGCTTGCTGGCTACCAGATGAATTTTGAGACCTCGAAGTCACGGGTGACCCAGAGCAACTTTGCAGTTGGTTACAAGACTGACGAATTCCAGCTTCATACCAACGTGTAAGTGTGTGTATGGTTTCCTTGTGTGACTTTATGCTAATGTGTGTGTGTGTGTGTGTGTGTGTGTGGCTTTATACTAACATGTATGGTTCCCTGTGTGATTTCATACTGATATGTAAGTACATGTGTGGTTCCATGTGTGACTTCATGCTAGCGTGTAAGCGTGTGTGACTTTATACTAATGTGGCTGGGGGTTTGTTTTTCATTATTTTCTCAAGAGTTTTCAGTCACTGTAATGCAGATTTGTTGGCATCACATGAGCCAAGTGGTCCTTTAGCATTTTTGTTTCCCATCTACCCATTTCCTGAAATGTCTTTTTCACTTTTTTTAAGAGTAAAAAGAAATTTATTCTTATTTTATGTGTCTGGAGTGTTTTGCATGCATGTATGTAAGTGCACCTGTGCATGCAGAGCCTGCCGGGGCCAGAAGAAGGCGTTGGATCTCCTGGAACTGGAGTTACAGATGGTTGTCGGCTGCTGTGTGGGTGCTGGGAACCGATTCTGGGTCCTCTGCAAGAGCAGCCAGTGCTCTTAACCGCTGAGCCATCTCTCCAGTCCCCTTCCTTTTTCCCTCCCTCTTTCCCTCCCTCCCTCCTTTTCTGTGAGCCAGAGATTTCCCCACTGGTACATGCAGAGTGACTGAGCATTTACAATAGAACATGGTGGCAGTCCAGAGGGGTGTCCCTTCCCTGAAGCTTCCTGGGCCCTGGAGGCCCCTTCAGTTTTAATTAACAGAGTCTAAGGATGGGGTGTGGGAGCTGCTGCTCTCTTCCTGGGTAATACCTTTGACTCAGCTCACTAAGCTTAATGAAATGGAGACCTTACCAAGCCATGATCATCTTAAATGGGCATCAAAGTGTCCTCGTTGCACGGTGGGCTGTCGAGTGTTTTACTAACTGCTGGACAGTGTGGTGATGAGCAGAGAGGTTGCAGGTTAGGTTGAAGAGCCTCTTTAATCAGACTTGGGGGTTAAAGGGGAGTAATGATTTGGACTGAGGGAAACAGAAATTTCAACCATAAAAATAATCTTCTTTGGGTTAGTTCCATGAGGACTTAGCCTGCAGCTTCTAATAGAAGGGTTTGGAGTCACCAAGTTCTTTCCACTAGAGGTCATAAAGACACCACTTAACTAAAGACCGGTAAGTGGTTTTACCCTTAAACAAAGACCATTTCCATTAATGACAAATTTTAAAATACCTTGAGTCTGGGTAGGTCTGCATGAGAATGTACATACAGAGGTCAGAGAACAACTTGCAGGAATTGGTTTTCTCCTTCCGTCATGTAGGATGAGACTCAGGCTTGGTGGCCTTGACCCATCATCACTGGCCCTAATACTTTTGTGAGGAATTTTGATCATTAGTTTAAAATTTTGAGTCTTAAAGATATCAAAGAAAGGTAACAAAAAAAGGAACACAAAGAAGAGACATCCAGGCGCGGACGGGCTTTTGTTTGTTTTTTTGAGAGAGAGTCTCATGTGGCTCAGGCTGACCTCAAGCTTTCTGTATGGTTGAGGATGACCTTGAGCCGATCCTCCCAAGTGCTGGGATTACAGGCGTGCACTAACACACCTGGCCCAGAAGCCTTGTTAAATTCTGAGTTCTGGCCGACATGGCAAAGGCTTGCTTGGTTCAGAATTGGGAATTGGCGCTAAGTCCTAGGAGGAAGAGTGGCTGTCTTGTGCTTCTGCATGTACCTGCGTGTTTTCAGTTGGTTACGTGAAGACCTGGTTTGTTTCTAACACTTGCCTGGAGGTAGCTGTCGGAACTCCTGGCTTTTCTGTGATGCCAATGCCCAGATGTGGAATAGGCATTCTGCATGCCTCTTAAAGGTGCATCTCTACAGGGAGCTTCTCTGCCTATGGTTTAAAAACTCAGTGCACTAAGGCATTGCTGAGTTCCTAGTTTCAGAACATTCTGATCTTCACACACACACACACACACACACACACAGCAGCAGCAGCATTAAATATTAAAAAAAATGTTAACTAAAGGAGTTTAGGTCTATGGCTATAAACTCAAACAGTATATAAGGAAAACACTGGTTCCAGCCTGCCTCAGCTTGCCCCTCCTAGCTCCTTGGTGCTTGCTGCGATAGCCATTTTTGATCCATGGTTCCCTCTGTGGGGATGGATGCTTCTGATTAGGCCCCGACATGCACCATACAACAGCCTACTGGAGACGGTATGTGATCTGTACAGACCCCATGCTGTCAGTCTCCATGCTGCAGAGAAGGACCACACATGAGCCTGCAGCTCTTCATATACTCTGGGGTTTGCTGTGCTGACACCATGTGCAGGCTGTCCTGCCAACTCTTCTGGGTGGGGCAGAGTCCCAGTGTTGAGCTTGAGCAGACCCCAAAGAGGAAGCAGAAGAGCTGAATGGCCGGAAGAGAGGCGGGAGTTGCGCCAGCTTGGTTTCATCCTGAGTATTTTAGTAAGATAGGAACGTTTTGTAATGTAGCAAGAAACTCCCTTGCAAGTCATCCCAGGAGTTTGAATGCTGTAGTGGGGTGAAGGTGGGCAGCTCTGAATTCGAGTTGTGGGTTAACTTCTTTCATCTTTGTTGCTTCTTGAGGCTCTGGGTGGCCTCTGGCTGTGCTTTGGTGGTGGTTGTAGCTGGCATGTCAGGGGCTATAACCTACTGTCTTCATCAATTAAAAGACATTTGAAAAATATTTACTTGTGTGTGTTTGTATGCATGTGCAAACATACATGAGGAGACAAAGGACAATCTTTTTGTGGGGGTCAGTTCTCCCCTTCCACCACGTGGGTCCTAAGAATTTAACTTTGGTTGTCAGATTTGACAGTAAGTTCCTTTACGTGATGAACTCTCTGGCCCAGGGACAAGATACCCCCCAGTGACCTGCTCCAGGAACTTTCTCCAGCTAGGTCCTCTTAATTTTTTTTTACTTTTTAAAAAAAAATTATTTATTTAATAACCACATACTTAGAAGAAGCATTTCATTACATCAGCATTGTTTTCTTTTTTTTTTTTTTTTTATTTTTTGAGACACCCTCCCCCTGTAGCCTTAGCTGGCCTGGAACTCACTATGTAGACCAGATTGGTCTCCATCTCACAGAGATCCGTCTGCCTCTGCCTCCCGAGTGCTGGGATTAAAGGCATGCAGCACCACACTGAGCCCTTGCTGATAACATTTTAAAGGGTGTTTGGAAGCAAATGTGAGGTTCTGTGCAGCTCTTTGCCCTGGTTGGCACTGGTGGCTGTCCCATTCCTGTCAGCTTCTGGTGTTTCACTGCCTGTTTTGTGAAGTCTGGTCTTCTGTATACCGTGACTTGGTTCAATCCACTTGCAGCATTCCTGTTCCCTTGTTGACTCAGGTGACTCTTCCTGGGCTCAACCCACTCCTGGAGAGCTAAGAATCTGTTGCTGTACTTGTTTTTAGGAATGATGGGACAGAGTTTGGTGGCTCCATTTACCAGAAGGTGAACAAGAAGTTGGAGACCGCTGTCAATCTTGCCTGGACAGCAGGAAACAGTAACACTCGCTTTGGAATAGCAGCCAAGTATCAGATCGACCCGGATGCCTGCTTTTCGGTGGGTGCCTGTGAGTCACCTGTTGCCCAGGATTGTGGGAGTTCTGGGCTTCTGCTTATAGATTCTGAAGAGTACTTCCTTTGGGTGCCAGGTGCTGTGCAGAGCCTCTTAGTTGAGGATTCTTGCACTTAATCCCATTTGAGACACTTTTTTTTTCTCTTTTTGGAGACAGGGTCTCACTGTGTAGCCCTGACTGGCTTTGAACTCACAGAACCGCCTGCCTCTGCCTCCCAAGTGCTGGGGATTAAAGGCATCGAGCCTCTTTCTTTAACCAGTCTTTGTAAAGAGCCCTGAAACCTAAGGCTTTCGATGTTTAGTTTTTCTTTCATTTTCACTTTTTTTGCAGTTTTTGCAGTCCACATTAAGGAATCAGTGGCCAGGCCAGGCTGATGTTTAGTTGTGGAATGCTTGCCTAGCGTGTGCAAGGGCCTGGTTTTAAGTTCCCAAACAAGGGTGGGGATGTAGCTCATTGATCGAGTGCTTGCCTAGCATTTACAAAGCTTTGTACTTGATCCTAAGCAGTGTATAAGTCAGGTGTCGTGGTGCACACATGCAGTCCCAGCAGGAGGATCAGAAGTTCAAGGCCAGCCTGGATGAGGCTCAGATGAGCCCTCATCTCAAAAAAAGTGGTTGGAGTCATTTAAGATACAGCGTGACACACCTAGAATCCCAGCATTGGGGAAGCTAAGGCAGGAGAATAGAGAGCTTGAAGCTAGCCTGGGGCCACATAGTGAGACCATGTCTCTAGAAAGATAAAACTAAACCTAGAAGTTGGTGGTCACTGGGCAACTTATCTTGCAGACCTGGTGGCACTGGTTAGGGGCCCAGATCTACTGCATAGGTTTTGCAATGAGTCCTGTCGGGCTCCCTTTTGTCACTGGACACTGTAGGTGACTGTGCTTTCAGGGTGGGATGAGAAGTGTCATGTTGCAGAATATTTCTGCTAGTTTATGTACTTCACAGACAGTTCATTCTTTTTTTGTTTTGTCTTTTTGAGACAGGGTCTCCCTGTAGCCCCAGCTGTCCTGGAACTCACTGTGTAGACCAGGCTGGCCTTGAACTCACAGAGATCCTCCTGCCTCTGCCTCTCGAGTGCTGGGATTAAAGGCGTGCGCCACCATGCCCAGTGACAATTCATTCTTAAATCTGCTGAACTCGGAACTGAATTTGGCTCCCTCAACATCAGGCATGTAAAACCAAGGGATACTGGGAGCATAAAGGCCCAGTTTGAAGGGACATGGCCTGCCAAGAGCCTCAGTTCCCCCTGCTTTGCCCTTAGGACTTAAGCAAAACACCACAAACCTCCATTTGTATTTCATATTGAGTTTACTGAGGTGGTCATGAGCAAAGGTGGTTTGATTCTGAAACCTTGACTGAATAAAAAGCTCTTGTTCATTTTGGAGATGGGAGTATGGAACGTTGTTTTCACTTAGTCTTAATCTCTTTCCTTCCAGGCCAAAGTGAACAACTCCAGCCTGATCGGCTTAGGGTACACTCAGACCCTCAAGCCAGGTATGTATTGCTTACGTGTGAAGTAGTTCTGTCTTTAAAAGTTCGAGGTGTTGGCTTGGTGATTTGTGCTCTTGCTTGTAAAGTGCCTGTGTGGGGTGTTGTAAATGAGTATATATAAAATTTTATGGTTAAATGTTTATAAAGGAGTTTATGAAAGAAAGAACAGGAGAAAGAGAAGGAGGCAGAAATGCCAGGGCTGACAACTGCTGCATTTCTGGTTATCTTCCATCCTTTTTCTGTGTGGAACCCATGCTTGATACGCATTTCCAGTGCGTTGTCAAAATTAGCCTGCCAAGCGTCCCCGCTAGAGATAGATAAAAGGAGCAGTGGTTTGTGGGTCTCCTCTGTGTTCGTCCAGGCCAGACCCCAGTATGGGAGAGCTTCCAGGGCTAACCCCACTGTTGAACCCTGAAGGCTGGTTACATGATGTGGGAATCAATCAAACCACACCAGGGAAAGTCAGCACTTTAAAATTAGGGACTGGAGAGCTGAATCAGTGGTTGCTGCTCTTGTAGAGGACCTAAGTTGGATTCCCAGCACCCACATTGGGAAGCTCACAGCTGCCTGGAGCTCCAGCTCCAGGGGATCCAACACTCTCTTCTGGTCTCCATGGGCACTGCACACACACACACACACACACACACGCACACACACACACTAAAAACTTAATTCTAAAATTATAGTTAAATCCCAGGAAAATAAGTTCATTATGTGTGTATACTTGTGTATATGTGTGTATGTGTTGTGATGGTGTATGTAAAGACTCAGGCCTGATTCAGGATTGGGTTCTTCCAAGACACTATGGCTGCAGCAGCTTTCTGTGTGGAATCAGAGGTAGATGGAGTCTTTGTAGTATGGGAACTATGAGAGGGTGAGAAAATGTTCCCTAAAGTGGATTCCCACGGGCTGCCTGCTGTGTGGACCAGTGATGGCTGCTGACGGCACCAGTCAGCCGGGTGTGTTATACAATGAAACTTGAAGGGTCACTGTTTCACCTCTGCTGATGATGCCTTGAACAGGCTTTGATGCTGGTGTTAACCTTTCTTTCCTTCCCTCCTCCCCCCTGGACAGCAGGAAACAGTAACACTCGCTTTGGAATAGCAGCCAAGTATCAAATCGACCCGGATGCCTGCTTTTCGGCCAAAGTGAACAACTCCAGCCTGATCGGTTTAGGGTACACTCAGACCCTCAAGCCAGGTATCAAACTGACACTGTCAGCTCTACTGGATGGCAAGAACATCAATGCAGGTGGCCACAAGCTTGGTCTAGGCCTGGAGTTTCAAGCATAAATGAATATTGTACAATCATTAATTTTAAACTATTTTGCAGCATAGCTACCTTCAGAATTTAGTGTACCTTTTAATGTTGTATGTTGGGGATGCAAGAATTGCTAAATATCATGTTAGATTCCAGGTTAAAGATGATTCAGCTTTAAGAAAGTGTGTTACCATTTCAGAGGTACAGAAGAAACCAATTCCAAAAAAGTCCTTTCAGCTGTAGACTTTGGGAGGAGCCCCCTACAGGTGCCAGGTTTCTCTTTTTAATCTTAGAAATGGCTACAAGGGGAAGCTGATGACTGTAGGCCCTTTGTAAACTGTGTGAGTCCGTGGATGAAATTGTGACTTCCGAGCATCAAACCTTGGTTTCCCAACCCTAACCGTGAGAAGCCCACGGCTTGATAGTGTGCACACACCCATCTGAAAGGGACTTTACAGATCTTCATACCGTTTCCACCCGAGCCCGTTAGCACCTGTTTGACACCAAAAGTAGTCTGCAAGGTGTGGTTGGCTGTTGTGTGCCATTTTGGGGTGGAGAGGCTGGGTGTGACGGAGGCGATAATTCAGGACTTGATTTCTCTTCGTGTTGTGGTGTTTTACTCCTTTATTATTATTTTTTGCTATTGCACCAGAGTATGAAATAGCTTCTGGGATCTATAGCTCTGAGCTGGGCAGAGCCTGCGTGATTGTGACCACATGTGACAACACTAGAGATCTAAATTGGACTTCTGTTTTATTCTCACCACTCTTTTTTTTTTTTTTTAAAGCAATTTAATGGGTACATTTTAGTCTTCCATTTTATGTGGAATTAGATCCTCCCCTTCAAATGCTGTAATTAACATCACCTAAAATAAAACTTGAATAAAATATTGAAACCTCACCCTCCTGTTGTTTTGTTAATAAAAATGTAAATGAGTGGGGCATCTGTTTAGATTTGTTCTTTGTTCCCTTGTGCTAGATGCATTAAATATTATTTTTACTTGGTATCTAACAAATTGTTACTAACTTAATGACCTGAAAGAACATTCACAGAGCTGGAGAGATGGCTCAGTGGTTAAGAGCTCTTCCTGCTCTTCTTGAAGCTAACAACCATCTGTAACTCCAGCTTCAGGGGACCTGATGCTTCCTTCTGGCCTTTGTGGGCACCTGTGTGCACACATGCACATGCATGCATGCATGCATGCACACACACACAAAATAAATAAATGTAAAAATATAAATGAATATATGAATTCCAAAGTGACCCCCTCCAGGGTGTGTGTGTGTGTGTGTGTGTGTGCGTGTGTGTGTGCATGCGTGTGCATGAGCACACGATGGAGCACATGTTGAGGTCAGAGGACAAGTTGGAGTCAGTTCTCTCCCTCTGCCATGTGAGTCCTGAGAATTGAACTCAGGTGGTCAGGCGTTGTGGCAGGCACCCTTACCTGCTGAGCTATCTCACATATTTTTAATAACTTGTTTTATATCTATGTATACATATAGCTATATATATAAAATATATGTAACATGATAATTATGAACAATACGTGCACATTACCCACCTTCAGCAATAAGAATATTCATATTTTTAAAGCAGAATTATTTTAGTTGTATGTGCATGTGTGTATTGCCTGCATGTAGGTAAGTGCACCATATTGTTCAATGCCCGTGGAGGACAGAAGAGGCTGTCAGATCCCCTGGAACTGGAGTTATGAACAGTTGTTAGTTGCCATGTGGGTGCTGGGATTTGAATCTGGGTTTTCTGCAAGAACAGTCAGTGTTCTTAACTGCTGAGCCATCTCTCCAGCCCCCAGAATTCCTTTTGTAAAATTATTTATCTGGGGGGAGGACATACATGTGGGGATTCAGGACAATTGTGAGAGTTGATTCTTTTCTACCTTTATGTGGGTTCTGGGGATGAAACTCAGGTTCCGGCTTGGCAGCAAGTGCCTTTATCTGCTAAGGGATCTCATCTGCCACCCCCTCATTTTGATATTTGAAAGTGACATTCCAAACTCATTTATTTTTAGCATTTTGGAAGCTTATTAGTCATGCTGCCTTCATCAAGTTTATAAAAACTTTCAGCTATTTCTAAGTGAATGTGTAGAATCTGTCCAGAGCCTCTGATTCTGGACAAAGTGATTGCTGAGTACATGCAGTCAGGTGCCAGGTATAGTATTAAATGTGTTGAAATGTACAAATGGACCTCTGGAGTATGAAGGACTGTTTCATTAACCAGTTAATTATTAAATGTAGTGTGTTGCATGGAATATCACTGCAAAATGTCTTGAGTTCATGGTATCTCATCAGTTAAGAATTCAGACAATCTGTCACTGAGGACAAATGGACACAGTGGATCAGGGAAGAGGATGGAAGGGTGTTACTGAAATCAAAACAATCTCCAAACAAGCAGAAAGTAAGACTGAGATTGAGATTATTCACTGAACAGACTGGTATTTTCTAGACTCACAGGAGCCAACACTTAGGGGCTCTTGAGGTGGGACTGTGCCTTTGATAACCTGGAAGGTTTTGGGCACGTTCTGCCTACGCAGGCTTGTGGCAGACTTTGGAAGGTGAGATGACTTCACAGTTTTCTTAACATAGAGTTTGTTTTTGAGCTGTCCTGGGGCTAGATAAATGAGATTTGGGAGAACACAAGCCCTTTTCTACCCTGTAGAGACAGCTCAACTGTCCCTGGGGACAGCAGCAACCAGAGGGGATCACAGAACCAGCAGTGAGGTTGTGGGCACAATAAATGTAGGCTTTATGCTACACTGGTTTTCTGGAAAACTGGTGAAATGGAACATTTATGAACTGAAGCCTGTAGCTGTTTATTAAAGACATATTCACAGAACATACAGACCAAAGCTCTAATGAGATGGAATGTTTATGAATAGAAGCCTATAGCTGTTTATTAAAGACATTCACAGAACATACAAAGCTCTGAGATGCAATGGTTATGAACTGAAGCATATAGCTGTTTATTAAAGAAACATTCACAGAACATACATACTCACAGATGGTATCTGTGTCAGGGCCCTAGGCAAACTTTCTGAATTTTCATTTTCATACACTGGGTGTTTTGTCTGACAAAATTTATAAAGGGATAGTCTATTTTAGGAAATTTGGAAGGTATTGGTAGTGGCATTCCATCCTGCCTGCCAGTCACTCTCCCAGCTCTTTTATGACACTATTACCATGTTTACTCTTGTAGTCTCTCCCACAAGAAACCAAACCCTGCAAAGCCTTGAGTTTATTTACTGATGCACTGAAGAGTTTGGAGAAGTGATAAATACTAGTGAAGCACTCTATGATTGTGGGCAAGAATAACTGCTTATAAGCCGGAATGGTGACATGCTTGTAATTCCATAACCTGGGAAGTGGAGGCAGACAAGGGCATCAGTTCAAGGTCATCCTTTGCTTAAAGAAGTGCAAGGCCAGCCTGGGTTACATGAAACCTTGTCTAAAAAGAGGGAGGGACTAGAGATGGCTCTGGGGTTAAGATCAAGTACTGCTCTTGCAGAGAATGGGGGTTCAGTTTCTAGCACCCACGTGTGGCGACTCGCAACCATCTGTAAGTCCAGCTCCAGGGAATCCCATGCCCTCTTCTGGCCTCTGCAGACAAAGGCTGTATGTGGTGCACATACATACATGCAGGCACACACACACACACACAAATAGCTCAGTGTGATGGTGCAGAGGCAGAGACAGGTGGATCTCTGTGAGTTCCAGGCCAGCCAGGGCTACATAGTGAGATCCTGTTTCAACAGACACAAACAAAACCTCACAGATCTCTGAGTTTGAGGTCGGTCCCAGCCAGGACTACACAGTGAGACCCTGTCTCAAAAAAAAAAAAATTATATAGCCATTTCACCAGCCCCAACTTCCCCAGATTCACCAACGTAGTAACAGAATAATTCATGTGCTTTCTATTTTGTTTTCAAAGTTGAAATTTTACCTACAGTGGTTCTAAAGAATCTAGAGGGCTGGAGAGATGGCTCAGAGGTTAAGAGCACTGGCTCTTTTTGCAGAGGACCTGGGTTCAGTTCCCAACACCCACATTGGAAGCTAACAATGATCTGTAACTCTAGTTCCAGGGGCTCCAATGCCCTCTTCTGACCTCCTTGGGTATTGCACAAGGGTACACCTACACACATGCAGGCAATACACTCCTACACATAAAATAAAAGTAATAAAGTATTTTTAAGTGTATAATTAGAATGTATAATCTAAAAAGCTTATAATAAAATAAATATAAATAAAAAATATTTATAATCTAAATGTATAATCTAAAAAAATGTTTAAAAAAGCCCAGTGAAAAAAAGTTTAAAATAAACCCGCTCTGTTCCCGGCACCCCTCTCTAGGGTCACCCGGGCCATCCATCCTCGCTTCAGAGCGGCCGCGTCATCACGCCGCGACGTCGCTGTTCCGGGCCCGCTCTGCCCGACGCCTCTCTGACGTCCGGACGCAGCGCCTAGCAACCGCGCAGGCTCGGGCCGAGTCCGTTATGGCCGCCGCTGCCCTGGGGAGGATGAGCGGGGCCGCGCGAGCGAAGCCGCTTCCCGTGCCGGGCGCCGGGGACCGCGGAGGGCTGGTGCGGGCGCTGCTGCTGGCGCTGCTGCTGACGTCCG